ATAATGTATAAATAAGTAAATAAATACTCTTGAGGTCAAATGTACTAAAAAAGCATAAATGATATAAAAGTATACTTAAGAGTAAAAATTATTCAAGGGATAAACAAATGCATAACAATGAATAGTTCACAAACCATGCGTCAAAGTACAGTTATCTGCAGGATGAAACAGCCATGAAACAAAGTCATAATTGTTCCCTTCGTCTACGACCCTGTGCTCAAGCTGCCAGGGGTTGCGTGTTTCAAGTCGTTGTTACACACGTCGTCCCCAGTGCTTATCAGGGACTGAAACTGCCCCCATGGCCATATGGATGGAGCGTCTGACCAGAGAGAGGAAGGTTGGTGTTCGATCCACTGGCCGTTTCATTCCGCTTGTTCCTCTGCATGGCGCTCGGCTTTGGGGAGATAAAACAAGGACTGGTCGTCTCGAAGTCAGTATAATGTGTTTGAGTGGGGTATCCATGTTAAACTTCGGCATGATATCCCAGGCTGGCACTATCAAACCGGCATTAGTACGGGTTAGTACAAGCAACCACACACACGTGCATGTACGTCGCTATATTAGTGCAATAATCTTGAACGGGACGTTAAACCCAATTTCACCTCACCTCAGTTCACCTCAGTTCACCTCAACTCACCTCACCTCACCTCAGAAACTCAGGTCAGATGAACATATTAACATTATTCTGCATGGGAGTCGGTACATGCTCGCGGAACGCGTAGAAGTGCGCTGTCGTCCTTTAATATCATGGACATTTTGCAAGAAAAGGAATGACTGCACGCTCCGGGATTTCTTCTCGATAGCTGATTACTGTCAAGTTCTCCTTTACGATGCGATAGTCGATTCGGCCCCTATATCCGAATATGGTCGAATTGTGATGCTTTCTTTCTCAAAACTATGCATTTCCATGACGCAGAAATCCTTACATGTGTCGTCGACGCTGTGTCTGTGAGCAGGTCATCATCGACATTCAGATTGAATCGCTATAAAAGCAACGAAACATATTTCCATAATCATAAGAAATGTCTACAAAAAGCAAAGTCGAATGTGCGATTCCGACTATAACACAAGCATGCGTTTGTGAATCACTAAAAAGTTATGGTACCCGGTGTTTGCGAAAAGGTGACTAGCGTATTATGCCCTAACGGTGGAATCTGATGGCATACCTTTGCAGTCTGGTCCGTCTAAAGTACTGGCCAACGAAGAAGTGTCCGGCGGTGATGTCTGAACAGAATGGACCTTCTTACAGAACGATAAGGTCCTTTCCAAGCTGTCAGAGAGGCTGTCTGACCAACTAGCTGGTTTTAACCAGAAGTGAAGAGTAGTCACATTTCCGCTGCCATTGCGAGAACGCTTGTTCGTGATTGTGTGTCGTGAATTCTCTTCCTTGACATACTATACATTATTCCTCTGTTAAAGTTGAGACGATTTTCGATTGAGACACATTATTATGCCTCCAGTAAGTAAGTGTTTACGCACAAGGAGTATACTTACCTCCTTTAACATCTAAAGCATACATGATTTCGTCAGGTTTTTTCTTGTATGTCTATCACAAATGGAGCTAAGCATAATTTTACCAAAGTCAATCTTATAAATCCTCTGCTGTTGTTGTATAAAGAAACCACATGCCGCCTTTTGGTGTTAACGTTATCTTGCACTGATGTTTTGTGTGTTTTATATCATAAGAAATGAACGTGGCCAATTCGTCTGAGGTGCCGCAGTTTGCTGTGAAGAGTTTGTCAGAAACCTATGATCGTGGGCTCGAATCCGGATTCGCCACAATTATGTTTCTGGGTTTGTCAACTCGTTTACCAGTGTTCGTGGGTTTCACCAAAGTGGTAAATGTCTGAGACCTTCGGGACGTCATGCTTTCTTCCCAGATTATTATGATAAGCTGACACGCCGTGATATATCCGGAACACTGTTCAAAGCGGCTTCAAATCCAACTCACGAGCTCGCTCACTCATTAGAAATGAAGCACATTAACATTGCAACTCAAGAAATTCAACTGACAACAAATCTAGGCTTGTAAGATCTATCGTCAGATATAATTATATGATCTACATGTATATGAGAGCTTACATTCCTCTCGGTGTTTGAAGATAGTGTTTGATGTTACGGCATTTAGCTATGAGTATGTAATCATAGTCAGACTAAATAGGATTTCAGCCATGTTATTTGGCTCAGCACCCAGAATTCCTGAAACAAACGTACAGTAACGATTAGAAGGAAACTAGAAAAAAAGTTCATTGCATCCGACAAGAGTGCAGTAAAATATAACATACCATTTACACGTTAGCTTTACCACGTGAATCCTCCCATAGATATCCAGTTTCTTGTAAAAAATGTTCAGTTTGTCAGATTGCAGAAACTGAACTTGCAAATCTCTGTATGAGACCAATGGGGGAAATAAGTTCAAGCATGAGCGGAGCTGTGATCGGAAGCAGATCGTTTACTCATTTAGGAAGACGTGAATGACCGAAAAGGGATATTCGGTTAACAAGATAAACAGAGTAATATATGAACGAAATATATGGTGTTAAAGCACATCATGTGGCTTTGAATGTAGTTGATCTTGTCAAAAAGTCTGCAATTGTCATTACTAATAACAACAGCTTATGAATACATTGTGGATGAAAATAACGATAACGAGGAAATTGAAAGGATGAAGAGATACGGAAAGACGTTATATATTCATTATAGTGATCCGATTTCCCTTCGAGACACAGTTATTATACGATATTCATGTATATTCCACATGGCTTTCATTTCTTGTAAACACATTTTATTTGAAACTGTTAAGGCTTATGATGTTATTGAATATATTGCTTCGTAAATGTTTGTATTTAAAACCAGTTAGGTATTTTCAGTGTTTATCGTTTCCAAATGTTTGTTTGTTGTTTAACGCCGCACTCGCCAATATTCCAGCTTTGTGAAGGCGGTCTGTAAATAAACGAATCTGGATCAGACAATCCAGGGATTGATATCATGAGCATCGATCCACGCATTTGGGATACGACGACATCAACCAAGTCAGCGATCCATACCACCCGATTCTGTTAGTCGCCTCTTACGCAAGCATTGGTTGCTGAAGATCTATTCTAACCCGGATCTTCACGGGTGGTTCCAAATGAATTGAGTTTTATAAGTAATTGCAAGTTGAATCTGTTTATGGAACCTTACATTCTGTGTTATTTCTTCGCTACAAAACGCCATGTAAGAAAGTTAATGAAACCTTACATGTTATTATTGTTGGCTGAGAATCAACTATCACCAGAGTAATGACAGATGAGGCTGTCGTCGTGGCTCTACTGACCAAGATAAGAAGAGTGGTGATTAGCGTCAGTGCCGGTTGTGTACATCATCTATGTTTTTGTTTTGCAATCTACCGGAACTATCACATATCAGATGGCTTCTACCCAATTCCTTAATATTGTCAGTACAAAAGATCAGCCTTCTATTTCAAGTACATATGGAGCAACAGTCGAAACAGGCAAGTGGATTTGATAAATGCATCACATCCGACAACTGTTATACGTCCCATACAGGACCATTGGTTTTAACGTTTGAAAGTAGTATTGATATACTTAACACTTAGAAACACGCTTTTCTCAGACTGGATTGATAAATTAATAGATCTTACGCCTAATCGATAGGAGAAATAGCAAGAAATCGGTAGCTGTTCGATTGTATTCTTTAGTACACGAAGTCTTCTTTACGTTTTATGTGCAAGATTTTACTGAAATCGCTGTATGAAGGAGAAACAACTATTCTATTTTCAAACACATTTATGTGAAATTTATTAACCTACATCTTGGCGAATTAGCGTGTGTGAGTTAAAACAATTAACGTCGCATCATCATTTCAGCCGTACTTTCAACAGCAAAGGCGCATACAACGTCAACATGTTCAAAGAGCTGATGAAAGTACTCAGGAAGTTCAGTGACATTTAAGTACCATGCTTAGAAGCTACGTGCAGTATACATGGAGGTCACTCTGAGCTTTCCTCTCACGTTCGGCTGTGTCTGATAAAGCTTTATACCCCAAGTCACTCACTCATTGATTGAATCCATTCCAAGTAAGTGACACAACCAGGAGTCATAGTATTGACAGGCACCTCCTCAGATGTACCCGTAGAGAATATCTATCAGCCAATTATTTCACATTTCATTCTGATCAGCTCGTTTAATGAATTCCCATGATTGCATCGAGTCATCAATGAAGACAGAGCGCACTGTCTCACTGGCGAGAGAGATCATTACACGAGTCAGCTGCATCTGAAACATGATAATTAAACAGTGTTTATCCCGACTTGTATCAAGAGTACAGGAAGGTGAAAATGCATTTCTGTATTTATTCATGTAAGATACCAAGGCATGCTATCTCTTTATCAATGAATGTTGTTTACTAAATCGCTTAGGATATATCTGCAAAGCCCATCATTGCTTCGCGGTGTTTTGGCAACAGCCCAGATGTGTTTCACTTGTGATGAAAACTTGCATATTATAGCATTTTACGAGAACCACCCAGCAATTATCACTGATGCGTTGGGCTAAATTGCATTGATTCTGGCATGTGAACAACTGTGAATAATGTTATGGATATATTATTGTCGAAAGTCACGTAACATGATCTTGATGTGCAAAGTATGTCAGGGTAAAGCATTCAAGTGCTCTAAAACAAGAAAATGGGTATTTATAACTTCAAAATTTAAAACTTAACTGTGCAAGTTAATGGTGCATGTGAAGTGACAACTGACAATTCAACCTTTTACTGCTCATTCTAGTACACCCACTTCTTATTCTAATACCTCACCATGCTTGTTGGACACCGTGACTGGCTGGAATCTCAGCTCCCCGTGTTTGTTGGACACCGTGACTGAATGGAATCTCAGCTCCTTGTGTTTGTTAGATACCTAACACACTGGTACCTAGGTCGACGTGCGTGTTGGACGCCATAACACACTGGTGCCCGAGCTCCTCATGTTTGCTGACAGACTCTTACCCAAGCTCATCATGCTTGTTGGACACCGTGACAGACTTGTACCCCAACTCATCGTGCTTGCTGGACACCGTAAGGGACTCTAACCCCAACTCATCGTGCTTGTTGGACACCGTGACAGACTTGTACCCCAACTCATCGTGCTTGTTGGACACCGTGACAGACTTGTACCCCAACTCATCGTGCTTGCTGGACACCGTGACAGACTTGTACCCCAACTCATCGTACTTGTTGGACACCGTGACAGACTTGTACCCCAACTCATCGTGCTTGTTGGACACCGTAAGGGACTCTAACCCCAACTCATCGTGCTTGTTGGACAGCGTGACAGACTTGTACCCCAACTCATCGTACTTGCTGGACATCGTGACAGACTTGTACCCCAACTCATCGTGTTTGCTGGACACCGTGACAGACTTGTACCCCAGCTCATCGTGCTTGCTGGACATCGTGACAGACTTGTACCCCAACTCATCGTGCTTGTTGGACACCGTGACAGACTTGTACCCCAACTCATCGTGCTTGTTGGACACCGTGACAGACTTGTACCCCAACTCATCGTGTTTGTTGGACACCGTAAGGGACTCTTACCCCAACTCATCGTGCTTGTTGGACAGCGTGACAGACTTGTACCCCAACTCATCGTACTTGTTGGACACCGTGACAGACTTGTACCCCAACTCATCGTGCTTGTTGGACACCGTAAGGGACTCTTACCCCCACTCATCGTGCTTGTTGGACACCGTAAGGGACTCTAACCCCAACTCATCGTGCTTGCTGGACACCGTGACAGACTTGTACCCCAACTCATCGTGCTTGCTGGACACCGTGACAGACTTGTACCCCAACTCATCGTACTTGTTGGACTCCGTGACAGACTTGTACCCCAACTCATCGTGCTTGCTGGACACCGTGACAGACTTGTACCCCAACTCATCATGCTTGTTGGACACCGTGACAGACTTGTACCCCAACTCATCGTACTTGTTGGACACCGTGACAGACTTGTACCCCAACTCATCGTGCTTGCTGGACACCGTAAGGGACTCTTACCCCCACTCATCGTGCTTGTTGGACACCGTGACAGACTTGTACCCCAACTCATCGTGCTTGTTGGACACCGTGACAGACTTGTACCCCATCTCATCGTGCTTGTTGGACAGCGTGACAGACTTGTACCCCAGCTCATCGTACTTGTTGGACACCGTGACAGACTTGTACCCCAACTCATCGTGCTTGTTGGACACCATGACAGACTTGTACCCCAACTCATCGTGCTTGTTGGACACCGTGACAGACTTGTACCCCAACTCACCATGCTTGTTGGACACCATGACAGACTTGTACCCCAACTCATCGTACTTGTTGGACACCGTGACAGACTTGTACCCCAACTCATCGTACTTGTTGGACACCGTGACAGACTTGTACCCCAACTCATCGTGCTTGTTGGACACCGTGACAGACTTGTACCCCAACTCACCATGCTTGTTGGACACCATGACAGACTTGTACCCCAACTCATCGTGCTTGTTGGACAGCGTGACAGACTTGTACCCCAGCTCATCGTACTTGTTGGACACCGTGACAGACTTGTACCCCAACTCATCGTGCTTGTTGGACACCATGACAGACTTGTACCCCAACTCATCGTACTTGTTGGACACCGTGACAGACTTGTACCCCAACTCATCGTGCTTGTTGGACACCGTAAGGGACTTGTACCCCAACTAATCGTGCTTGTTAGACACCGTGATAGACTTGTACCCCAGCTCATCGTACTTGTTGGACACCGTGACAGACTTGTATTCCAGCTTATCGTGCTTGTTGGACACCGTGACAGACAGGTGCCACAGCTCCTCATGCTTGCTGGAGATTTAGAGTCTCGGAGATTTAGGGGCTTCATGATTTTTCCTAATTTCAAGCATGTCTTTCATGATTTTATTCATGGCTTGGTATCTATTTCAACACGGCGTGACAAGCCAACATATTTATCTTCTTGTCCGTACCAGGATTTTATCGAATTGCACTCAGCAATGTTTAGGCTAAAAGACTTCACAGGTCAGAAGCTGTAAATGAATTAAGGTAGTTCATGTGCGGACCTTCACCTGAACTCGTGTGTTACATGACTAAGACCAATCCTTTAAATGACGGCAGGGTAAAGAATATGAAATGTGTCTGTTTTTGTGCATGCGTGTTGCGTAGACGCGTGCGTGTTTATGTATGTGTGCGTGTATATGCGTGTATTTATGTATGTATGTGTGCGTGTGTGCGTGCTTGCATGCGTGCGTGCGTACGTGCGTGTGTGTGATACAGCAGTATATACAGCGTCATGTATAGGAATGGTACCTTTAAATACCATGCCTTTTGTATTTGAGATGAGGCTTCGCGTAAAATGATTGTATGTCTAAAGAAGTTGTGATGGGCTAATTGAGACCTTGAATGGTATTAAAATACTGTTGCCAATATCGAGACACTACGAGACAATATCGACGGCGTGAGTCACGATGGCAGACAGTCAGTCACCCACTGTAACACACACACACTACTTACGTTCAATACTTTGTCATCTTATTTGAACAGAAATGTCAAACATTTAATAAATATAAATACCTCCATCGTTATGGGTTCATTACCATGGGCTGTTTTGGCGAAGACTGTTTGATGTGTCCTCGCAACCTTGACATAGCAGGGCTAAGGGCAGGCCTTGGCCATGTTGTTTGGTTTGATCACAACACAAAGATATATTGCCATTTACCAACGTGCTTTTAGCAAAACGATATGGCTGAAATATTGCCGATGTGACTCAAGCACTTTTAGCATAACGGCTGAAATACTTTCGATGCGATGATAACAATGATCTTATTTCATCAGTTTTTATTAAGAAGTAAAATACATTTAGTTGTATACAAAACTGCCCTTCTTAAAGCGATTAAGGAAAGATTATTCAATGTACATGTTTGTAAGATTATGCGTATTAATGAGACATTATAGTGACACCTTTATAGGGATTCTGTCACACAAGCGGACATTTTACGATTTGTCATCTGCTTTAAATATAATTGTCAACGACTTGCCAAAACCTCAGATAAAGGAGGAGAAGGGAGATCAACTGTAGAATCAAATATCATTCGCTTGGTCTGTCAGTGGTCTATGTACGCCACACGTATATAGGAGACAGTCTCAGTGAAAGCGTCTGCCCGGGGAGAGCGGAAGCACGGTGGTTCAATCTCTGGCTGCGTCATACCAAAAGACGGTTAAAAGATGGTATTTGGAGTTGCCCTGGATGGCGCTCGGCTTCAAGGGGATAAACTATAAAAGGACTCGGAGTCAGTATACTGTTTTCTTCGTTAAACTTCGGCATGGTTACTCACTGCGTTAGCACTGTAAAACCGGCACACACACACACACACACACACACACACACACACACACACACACACACACACACACACACACACACACACACACACACACCATCTGTATTGACAGTGTTAGTTTTTTCATCACAAGGGATAACTATTTCAAGGTTTCATCTAAAAAGGATCTTTTTAATACTATGAGTTCCCATTTAATATTGGCTTTTCAAAAGAACTAAAATTGTATAACAAATTTTGTTAATATGTAATGTATAAAATAAATGGCTTTTTTTATAAATTGTTAGAACGAATTTATATCTGAGATTGTTAGTGACTGTATCCTCGAAGGGAATTAAAGTAAAATTATTGTCCTCCTGAGAGGATATCGTAAGTCAATGTCATCCAAAGAATAATTACATCTACTACGCTTTTAAACGTAGGATATCTGTCATTTTAGTTGTGGCTAAAATCACGTACAATCGCCATCGACTGAAGGGAAGGTTCTCAATCCTGCTGGGGGTCCTTGCATGTAGCGAAGGTATTGTAAGTCCCAACGGTCTGGTGATCTACCTTCAGTGGCTTGCGATCTGTAGCTTCGTTCTTATCATGTTCTGTTACGTATGGTGATATATTTTTAAGGTTCTATACTAGTTTTAAACAAAATCTTAATAAGTCTGGTTATTTTAATGTCCCTCGCCGACACTTTCTTATAGAGACTAAATATATCTGTTTTGAAAGTATTACTTTCTCTCGATATGGCTGAAATATTGCCGATGTGACGTTAGATTTTTACTCACTCACTTATTTTAATCGTCATATTCTACTTCACGGTATTTGGTCCCCTGTGTCTCATACGTGGTTTTAGAGCCAACTACAATAAAGATGTCCAAGACTCACTTATTTACAGGCTGATGAATATTGAATATTGTGTATGGTGTGATACAACATTCACTCACTCCGTATGGCCTGTTAGATAAAGTTTCATGACATTCGAGTATAATGTAAGCTTTCCAGTGTTTGCGCACCAAGGATACATTCTCCACAATGCAGAGTAAGAAGTGTTCACTTACAATACAAACACACCCTCCAACATTTTTACACACTCTCTGACACGAGAAATATGTGCCTTGTTCCCAGAAATGTTTAAACAGATATCAGTTTTTTCATTAACAACGCTTATCGATATATCTACAGCATCGCTTAAACAAATAGAACCCTTCACTTAAGTGTATATCATAATGTTTTACATGGTGTGCACGGCTTTTTGTCATAACACTGTTAGACGCACTGGAAAAAAGTGGCAACCAAAACATTTAATTTTTAGAAAAATTTGACGTCATTCACATTTTGATGAAATGATGCAAAGATGTTACGGAAACAGCCCAGCCAAATACCTTCGTCCGACTCATGGGCAATGTGTGTCCACAATACATCGTGCACTCCGATGTAGTAGCACCCGATTTGATACTATAATGTACCTTTAGAGTAATAGCTAGCTAGATGCCGGACTACTTTACTTCTGTACATCGTTAACTTAAATTTCGTGAAGGTAGTTCGCAAATCAATCAATTGATGAAACAAAGATCGTCGAACAAAAATTAATTTATATGCGAGAGATAATCAACTTTATTGTTAATATCCAAGGGCGCCTTTGTACAAAACAACCTTAGCGCTACAACTGTCGTAAGTCTATGTTAAGGTGTGGGAGTTACGATCCCCTTAGCGCTAAGATCGCTTTGTACAACGGCACCCAGGTCGGGTAAAACGAACGGATCTCTTTAATTTCGGTATATTCGATTTGACGTCAAATCGGCAAGAGAGACTAAATAGATAAGAATGAAAGTAGATTTAAAGTTCACTACCGTAGTAATTGTCTCGATTCCTGCATGCTCTTCCTGACATTCGGTGACATAACGTTATGTTGTATGAGCTTGCCAGTTCACTGCTACTATTATAACCAGGGACACGTCCACACAAGTCCAAACAAACCTGATGTGACTTCCTTTAGTATCGATCAAAGAATATATACATAGTTCTTGTGAAAAACCTAACTATCGAGTATCAGCCCGTTGGAATCTTCCAGAAGAAAC